AAAATAATTTTTACTGTATTGATTTTGCCCTAAACCAAACTTGCTGAACCTCATCCCTGGCTAGAGCTTTAAAATAATAATAATAATAATAAAGTAAAAATAATGGAGCACCTAGGTGGCTCAGTCGGTTAAGCAACCAATTCTTGATCTTGGCTTGGGTCTTGATCTCAAGGTCGTGGGTTCGGGCCCTGCACTGGGCTCTGCGTGGGGTGTGGAGCCTACTTAAAAAAAAAATAGAAAGTAAAATAAAATAATAGGAAGAAAAAGAAGGAGAAGAAGGAGGAGGGATGCCTGCAATAATAGAGAACAGAACATTTGCAGGTTACAAACCATTTTGCGATCATTCCTATTTTTGAGAGTTGACCTAAATACATTCAGTCTCTGTGCTGTAGGAGAAGGTGATTGAAGGACATTTTTACTCCCTCGAATAACAGGAAATTCACCATTTATTCTTTAGTAATAAAAACTGCATGTGTAAGAATTGTGACCGTGGAAGGTCAACTCAAATTAAAGATTTTATGACTAGCAGTTATATTAAATCTTTTCAGCAATTTATAGAAAGGATTTGAAACATGTCAAACGTATTTCTCTAAGTTTTTTCAAGTAAGAGGTTTTATTGCATCAAGTCACAGAACCAGGAGAAAAATTACTCTCAGATCATCCAGTGCTGGCTCTGCCAATGTCATATTGCTCCCTTCAGAACCAAAGACTGGGTATTAAGCCATCTGAGGTCAACCTCTTCTAATTAAAATGAAAGTCATAAAGCAAAGTATTTCAGTAATCCATAATAATAATAATCCCACTTTTATGTACTCCATGTATCCAAGAAATGGAAAGCAGTTCACATTTTTTTCTTTCTCTCACCTGGAAACAAAACCGAAAGCCCCAAGGCAAGTGTAAAGGAACATTCATTAACTTAAATATTTATAGAGCAAACGAACGTGCCTGTGTGTGTACTAGGAGAAAGGGAGGAGGAATTGACATTTATTGAGCACCTACTGTGTACCAAGCTTTGAACTAGGTCCAGTGGACCCAAACATGAATGACACCTTTTTCTTTTTTTAGAATTTATTTTATTTTTTAGAGAGAGAGAGAGAGACTGAGCAAGCAGGAGGGGGGCGCAGAAGAAAAGGGAGAGAATCCTCAAGCTGACTTCCCACTGAGCACAGATCCCGGCACGGGACTCAATCCGAGGACCCCAAGACCATGACCTGAGCCCAAACCAAGAGTCGGACACCTAACCGATCGAGGCACCCAGTTGTTTTAATTCACGCACTGTGAGTTAAAATGAGATCATATATGGGAAAGCACTTGATGAGGTGAAAAGCACTATACAGGTTTGGTCTTCCCATCTAGACTAGGAACTCCCTGGGGGGCAGGGACTAGGTGGATCATCTCTGGAACCCAGTGCCTACCTAAGTGCCTGGCACCAGTCCTTCCAAAGCCCCAGCCAGAGATCTAAGTATATATTTCATGCCCAAAAAAGCAGGGGGAAGGGGGAAGGCGAGATTCCCCCCAATTTTTTTAGGTGTGAAAGGGAACAACGTTTTTGAGTTTCTTTGGACTTTTGAAACTTTTCATTTTTAAAATAAATACAGGAGAATGTGTATAGTATTTGGTGGTTATGAAGTGATACTAATAACCACCTGGGACCGTGTAACAGTGACAAAAAATAAAGAAGAGCTCACAGAAAGAAAGATTTCAAAAGGACATAGAAACCAGCCTAAGGGAGGGGGCTCCCACTGGCCAAATCAAGGACTATTTGAGCATCAAATAAACAATGATGGTGATAGATTATAACCAAGTGAATAATATAGGAAATCAGGAACCAGGGTGTGTGTGTGTGTGTGTGTGTGTGTGTGTGTGTGACATAGAAATACGGGGGCGCCCGAGTGGCTCAGTTGGTTAAGTGCTTGACTCTTGATTCCGGCTCAGATCATGATCTCAGGGTTGTGAGATTGAGCCCCGTGTTGGGCTCTGAGCTCGGTATGAAGACTGCTTAGGATTCTCTCTCTCCCTCTGCCCCTCCCCGCCCCCACTCCCAGCTCTCATGCACGCACTCTCTCTCTCAAAAAAAAAAAAAAAAGAGAGAGAGAGAAATACAGGTGCAGGTATAGGCACTGATGCAGATATAGATAGTCACATGACCCAGCAATTCTGTTCCTAGGTATTTACCCAGGGTAAGTGAAAACATGTCCATACAAAACTATTTCTAGTAGTTGTGTTTATAATAGCCCCCAAACTATAGACAGCCCAACCCACATAACCATCAACAGGCGAACAGGTAAACAAATGATGGTATATTTATACATGGAATATGACTCAGCAATAAAAAGGAATAAACTATAAATAGGAATAAACTATTGATAAATAAAAAGGAATAAACTATTGACATACACAATATGTATAAATATCAAAAATATTTTCCTGAGTGAAGGAAGCCAGACACAAAAGAGTAAATATTGTGATTCTATTTATATGAAATTCCAGTACAGGCAAAACTAATCTCTAGTGACAGAAAGTACAACAAAAGTTTTCCCGGGGCTAGGGGTGGGAGGGAGTTGACCACAAAGGAACGTGAGGGAACTTTTGGGGTGATGGAAATATTCTGGGTCTTGAGTAAGATGATAGTCTACACATTTTTCAAAACTCAAAGAACATTTAAAATAGGTACACTTTAATATATGTTTATTTTTAAATTTAGTTATTTATAACTAAATAACATTGATTTAAAAAAAAAATAGGACTACTCTATGGCAAAGCATTTGTTGTTCCGCAGTCTTTACTACAGACGTGATGCCTGAAGGCACAGCAGCTACCTTGTGACTATGAGGTAACAAGCATGAAGACAAAGAGTAAATTAAACCTAAAGACAGCAGAGAAAAAAAGGAGAAAGAAGCTGGTGCCTGAGGCTATTTTTGAGCTGCCAAGCCCTCCCTAGACTGTCATCCTCCAGACCTTGTCACTGTAAGAGTTTTGTTCTTTCAGTCAAATTAATCCCCAAGCAAAATACAAAGTCGCCCCATCCAAATTATTTTCACTCCACCTTCATTCTTCATCAACTGAGAATGCATCCCTCCTCCTCCTCCTTCAGAATCCCAAACCAAGAATTCAAGCACATAATCTTCAAAGGTACACTTTGGAAACAGCCTCTATGTGAAGTTAACTATGGCCGGAGGCATCATGGAGCATTCAAAAGGGCCAAGAGGAGTTGGGAAGACAGGCTGAGAAATAGCACTGAAGTCTTAAGAGACATGAGAAGATGGAAAGAACCCACAGCAGATGTGAACGGTAATGAGACTGGATAGATAGGTGGGAGCCAATTTATGAAGGGCTTTTAAGCATTACATTTCTCCAATGTCACAGGCTAACTAGCCTTAGACCTGATATCTCAGGCAGCGTCACTGACTAATGAACTTTAGCATTTCAGCCATGTCATATTGGGGTTCCAAACTATTGTTTTTTAAAGATTTTATTTGAGAGAGAGAGCAAGAGAGCAAGCACGAGAGAGAGGGGGTAGGGGCAGAGGGAGAAGGAGAAGCAGACACCCCGCTGAGCAGAGAGCCCAATGCAGGGCTGGATCCCAGGACCCTGGGCAGAAGGTAGCCGCTTAACTGAGCCACCCAGGTGGCCCTAGAGTTTCTCTTACACATAGCCAGATACAATTCCTGGCACATGCTTCCCATCACCCTTAGAATAAATTCCCAAAGTCTTACACGATCTCTCCCACAGCATACCCTACCACTCTCCCTTATTCTTCCTGCACAAGCCTCATGGATCCTCTGGGCTGTTCTTGGTACATGCCAAGTTTATTTCTGCCCTAGTGCCTTTGTCCTTGCTGTTCTGGCATGCTCTTCTTCGAGATCTTTCACAGTTTGCTTGAGCCCTCGCTTCACTCAGCTTTCTGCTTTAATGTCACCTCTGTCCCAAGGTCTTGCCTTGACTACTCCATCCAAAATTGGTTCCTTCACACTCCTTAACTCTTTAGTAATTTATCTTTATTCATAGCACTTACCACTAACTAAAATAGTCTCTGCCCGAGAGTATGTTATTTATTTTCTTGCTTAGTTAAGGTCCATCGGCTCCCCGGGAATGAAAGCTTCCAGAGGTACAGGTCAATCCCAGTACCTGGAAGAGTGCCTGGTATGAAGTAGGCATTTGAAGGATATTCATTTAATCAATCAGTCAATTCATGACATCTTGAAATTGAGGTAGACTCTTCCTTACATTTCACTCAGTTGTTTGTAATACAAAGACTATGTAACTATCCACTAAAAGTTAAAGCCACAGTGTTGGGTTTATTTTGGCATTTTTGTCATACCAGCACTTTCTGGGGCTAGCAAATGTTGTCTGGACACTTAATTTCATGGCCTCTCCTGAAATTCTGGACCGGCTCCGCAATTTAAGGCTGAACTAATGAATGAACTTGGCAGTGAAGCGTCCAGACATCTGCACCGACACTGAACTACGCTGGGCATTGTCCTTTTGGTTTCTCCCCAGATCACCCAAAGGACGATCAGTGGTGAACCCATTCAGAGACCCGAGACTCGTTTTGTCTCTGACCTTTTCTAGATTGGGCCAGGGCCGTGAGAAACCCGATCACAGTGTGGACAGTGCCGTGGCAGAGTGACGAAGACGTCAGAAGGCCTGCTCCCAACCCCAGCTCACCAGCTACATGGCCAGTCTGAGTTCTCGGGATTACCAGAAGACGCATAGATCAGGGACCTGCAATCAGCCCCCAACCTGCAAAGAGAGAGAGGCGGCCTGTCTGAGCTCTGCGGTCCTCCCGGGTCAGAAGCGAGTCTGGATCCGGGGTTTTTTGCTTCCCTTCCACCCTCGCTCAAGCCTTGCACGCCCGCTTCCAGCCCCGAAGCCCAAGCCGCCAAGCCAGAGAGGCCGGCCCACGCGCCAGTCTCTCCGCCGGCCCATCCGCCGGCCCTTCTGTTCCCCGCCCCGCGCCGCGGCCCCGCCCACTCCCGTCGGCCCCCGCGGGCCGCTCCCGTCGCTGTGGAAACGAAGGCTGCCAATCGGCGCGGCGGCTTCCGCTCCTCGGGGCAGAGGTGGGCTCCCACCAGCTTGAGGGCTGCGGACCGCGATGCTGAAGGCCAAGATCCTCTTCGTGGGGCCCTGCGAGGTGAGGCCCGGCCGGCGAGGGCGGCGGGCGGGGGCCGAGGCGGGCGCGGGGCGACCCGGGACTGTGCCTTGCGCCGGGAGCCCCCCAGGAGTCGAGAGCCTGGTCCCACCGCGCCCACCCAGTGTGCGCCGCTGGCCTCAGCGTGAACTCGGCGCCCCCGGACCTTGACCCCGTTTTCGTAAGTCCTGAAGGTAGTGAGTGGCGTTTTGGAACCAGAGTCTAGGTCCCACGATTCTCCTTTGCCCCTGAGGTTGGCCCTAATGAACATGCCTGTGGGACAAGAAAAGGAGAGGAAAGATTGGACTATTACATGGTCTTTGAACGGTTCCCTCGTAGTGTGCGTGGTGGCGGCGGGGGGGGCGGGGCGCGGAGGATTAAACCTATTTGTGGACTTCACACCATACACAGGAATAAGATTCCCATGGACTAAAGCTAAATGTGTAAAACAACTACCGTAGAAATAGTGAATATTCTCCATCTTCAGCGCGCATCCCAATTGCCTGGAGGGCTTGTGAAAAACACAACATGCCAGTGCTGCCCCAGAGTTTTGATTCAGTAGGTCTGGGAGGAATCCGAGAATCGGCCTTTTACTGATGCTGTTCGTCCAGGGACCACGCGTTGAGAACCACTGTAGTAGATGCGTCTATGGAGAGATAATGTTATTCAGCTTGAGACAGGGAAGGTCTCCTCAAGCACAACACAAAAAATGAAGAAGCCCAAAAGAAATGACAGCGAAAGTAAGCCTGGGGAAAGTATTTGCATAATACATTACAAAGAAAGAATTAACAGGTGGAACGCACAGGGGAAGTTTAAAAATTGGTAAAAAGAACTCAGTAGAAAATCAAGCAAAGTCCCTGCACACAAGTACAACCAGCCAATAAGTATAAGAGGATGTTCAGCCTCACAGTCAACAAGAACATGAATTAAAACAAGAAGATGAAGCTTATTTGCCCACCATAGTGGGTGAAAAAAGGTTAGAACACTGATAACATGAAGCATGAGAATGCTTGTAGGGAAATGAGTACTTTAGGATTCTGTTGATGGGACTATACATTGCTAACAGCTTTATTGGCAAATCCAATTATTAAACTTTAAAACATGCATAGCTTTCAGTGCAACACTCACATTTCTCAAAATCTACGGAGGCTGGACACTTACCTATGTTCCCCAGAGGGGGTGTTGAACGATATTGAACTGGAAACACCCTGGGTGCCCATTGATAAGAGAATGTCTAAATAAACTAGGGACATTCTTACTGGGGAAGACTCCAGCGTTACCCAAAAGGAGGCACTGTGTGGAGGGACATGGAGAACATGTCAAGTTTATGTCTTGCCAAGACATAAACTAGTAGGTGAAATAGACAAGTAATAACAATATGCACAGAATTGTGAAAAGTAAACCAAGCATAAATATCTTCTCTTTTTTTTAATGGAAATTCTCAAACATACAAAGGGAGAAAAAACAAGGAACTCCTAGTACTCATCACCCAGCTTCAACAACAAAATATATTTCCGCATACACATATCCTCCTCTACCTCAATACTCTGCAGACTGGCCAACCTTTCTATTCCTTTAGCATGCTGGGCCCATTCCTGGCCTGGTGCCATCCAACTAGTTATTCTCTTCGCCTGGAAGGCTCGGTTGACCCCTTGTCATTCAAATCTTGGTTTAAACTTCACGCTTTCAGCCTTCCCTGACCACCCAGTTCAAAGTCCCTATGGCATTATGCCACTTGATTTTTATCCTCGTGCTTAGCACTACTTCATCTTCTGTTCAACAGCTCCAGGCAAGGTAGACACTTAAAAATACCTGATGTGCCTAACAGTTTCTTCATTTTCCCAGAAGAACCCTCCCCCTCAATCAATTGGTTTTGACCAACATGTATATATAAATTTAAGGGCATAGATGAAATATATAAATATACTTCTATAATGTTTTATGTATTCATGTAGCTATATATACATTTAAAGGTACCCTAAAGATACATACTAACTTAGAAATGCTGTTTTATTCCGTACTTGCATTTCACGACACAGCTTTAAAATTTAAACTCCTCACCTGCACCTTTGACACCTGAGTTGATTTTATGACCAAAGTCACTTTTAAACCACATGATGGGCACCTGGCTGGCTCAGTTGGACAAGTGTGTGACTCTTGATCTCAGGGTCATGAGTTTGAGCCCCACACTGGGTGTAGAGATTACTTAAATAAATAAAACTTAAAAAAAAAAAAAAGAACACATGACAAAGCATACCATCTGAGTAGTTTAGCATATAAGCACTTTTTGAATCTGTGTATGACCCTGTTCCTAGAAATGTATTCCAGCCCAAAGAACTGTTCCTATAACATCAGGTCATTTGCTTTATTTGTTCATCCTATAGATAAATGTCCATGGTCTCCACAAACATAAACACTCAACTGTAGTTTTTTTTTTTTTTTTTTAAGATTTATTTATTTAGCTGGGGGGGCAGGGGGAGAGGGAGAAGCAGACTCCCCACTGAGCAGGGAGCCTGACTCCAGGATTGATCCCAGGACCCTGAGATCATGATCTGAACCGAAGGTTGATGCTTAACCGACTGAGCCACCAGCTTAACTGACTGAGCCACCCAGGCGCCCCTCAGCTGTGTTATTTTTAAGTGCGGCTACATGCTCAGGAAGAATTGCTAAAGCAAGATTAATCCCCTCCCCGACCTTTCTCTGATTCTGTCAAGTGACCTCTACAAGCCTCCAAAACTGGCATTGGTTGAAATGATTCTAGTCAAGCAGTTGTTCAAAATAAAGTTCTTGAGAGAGCAGGACATAATTTCAGAGATTTTTAAGGACTCGAGTGATTCCCTTTCATCTGAGGAGGGATTTGCAGAGAAAAAAAATGCCTAATCTTACATCCAAGCATATACTATATTCGCTAAATGAACGATGCAAATGTACAGAAAGTATCTGAAAACAGATCATAGTTATCACCTTTGGGGAGGGAATGGAAGAGATGGACAGATGGCTACTTTGGGCGGAGGGACCAGGAGGGCTGTTTTGTTAATAGGACTGAGTATGACTTGTATTTTCTAAAAGGAGAAACAGCCCCGTGTGAGAGTGTGGCACAGCCAGCCACTGTGGGACCCAGCTCTGAACTTGAATTTCTGTGTGACCTTGAGGAACTCCCTTCCCCTTTCTGGGCCTCAGTGGCTTCATATCTGTGACAGACTGGTTTCTTGATGTGGAGAGGAGCATGGCAGGAGAGAGACTCACGATGGGTGCCTGGGTGGCTCAGTCATTAAGTGTCTGCCTTCAGCTCAAGTCATGGTCCCAGGGTCCTGGGATCGAGCCCCGCGTCGGGCTCCCTGCTCCACAGGAAGCCTGCTTCTCCCTCTCCCACTCCCCCTGCTTGTGCTCCCTCTCTCACTGTGTCTCTCTCTGTCAAATAAATAAATAAAATCTTAAAAAAGAAAGGAAAAAAATTTTTAAAAAGAAAAAGGAGAGAGACTCACACTAACAATTCTTTTCTGTTCTCAGATAAGTTAACCGAAAGCCAGCCAGGGAAATCAGTGTGGGTAAGAAGGTCACCCAGTTAGACCTTCTTTAAAACCCTGTGCATGCTGGGTCCCAGACCAGACTGCACCCACCAAATACAGGAAGGCAGCGAGGCCCGCCCACCAGAGAGAACCCTCTGCCTTGGTGCTCTCAGGGTGGCCGTGGCCTACACGCCATCACACCTGGTTCCAAACCAGCTATTGGGAGGGCACGTTTATGGTTTACTTTTCTGCTCTTCAGCAAAGACCTTTTATTATCTTCATTTCCACAGAGTGGAAAAACCGTTTTGGCCAACTTCCTGACAGAATCTTCTGACATCACCGAATACAACCCAACCCAAGGAGTGAGGTGAGCCCTGACAAATCTGTTTCCCAGAGAGGCCCAACCACCCCCCTTTTGGGATGGTGGCATTCCCAAAGTATACTGTTCCCAAAGTGGAGATGCTACTATTGTTTTTATTTCTAGGATCCTGGAATTTGAGAACCCACACGTGACCAGCAATACCAAAGGAACGGGATGTGAATTTGAGCTGTGGGATTGTGGCGGTGATCCAAAGTACGTTTCCTTTAAAGAGGGTTGGCTTCATCAAATGATTCAAGACTCAGCTGCCCGCCAAGCACCTTGGACTGTGGCCCAGCACACTTCCTAGCATGTATTAGGGGCATGATCGATTATTTGGTGACATGCGTGGCTTTTGAAACTTGACACAGTGACAAGTCATCCATCGATTAACCCTAAGACGTTATTTCTAAAGGCCTCAGCTAGAAACCGGAGCCACCTGACATTCACCGTGCCTCCTTCTCTGGCTTGCAGGTTCGAGTCTTGCTGGCCAGCCCTGATGAAGGACTCGCACGGGGTGGTGATCATCTTCAATGCCGACCTCCCCAGCCACCTGAAGGAAATCGAGATGTGGTATTCCTGCTTCGTCCAGCAGCAGTTCCTACAGGACGCTCAGTGTCTGTTGATCGCGCACCACAAACCAGGCTCTGGAAGTGATAAAGGACACCTGACTTTGTGTAAGGAGACTTCCATTTCTCCTTTCTGCTCTTGTCATGAGTGGTCTGGGCATTTGTATATTGTTCTGTGTCTTTAGAAACCAGAGGCTCTGTGCAGTTATTGAGCACTTACTGTGTCCTTGGCCTTTGTTCTTCCTACCATGTAAATTGGAATCACCAGGTTGGAAGATCTGTCATAGCATCCAGGCCAGGACAGAGACACTTTGAAAGCAGGCAGACACCAAGAGGGAAAAAAAAAAACAAAAACCTGATTTTAGCCACTCATCAGTACAATTAGGGACATTCTTTCCTGACTGGTCTTGTCTCAAGAAAAACTCCCAATTAGCCTGTGACACACCGTGACAAAGTGACAAAGTGCTCATGGAAGACGATTCACAATACTCAGAAATCTCTTCCTTTCTGGTGTGAGAAGAGGACCTGGAAGTGGCTTGTAGTTTTGCTATCCTACCACCAGGTGCCAGTGTGGTGGCACTCTTTATTGAGCACCTACCGTATGCCGAGCACGATGCTGAGCGGCAGCAGTGGCACGTGGTGAAACGTTCCTTCCTCTGTTAAATCATGGCAGGCAAGACACCACTTTATTTTTGGCCTCTAGAGAGGTCAACAAATTGGCTTCGATAAGACTCAGGTCATCGGGAGCTGGAAAGGGCCCATCCTTAAAAGTTCATGCCACAGAAGGAATGATGATCCAAACAGGAAACCCTTCTTGTGCAGGACTGTCATGGCCACAGTTTGCAAAAAGTGCAGCTATTGATTAATGCAATGTAGTGTCAGTTACATGTACATTCCCGAGGTCTTTATCTGTTGTAGCTTTGTCTTTTTCTTTTTCTTTTCATTACGTCAGGTATATTGCCCTGTAAATTGTGGTAGTGGTACCAGGAATAAAAAATTAAGGAATTTTTAACTTTAAAAAAAAAAAAAGTTCATGCCTACTTTACTTTCCTTTTTAAGCGCCCCCCTTAAGCAAGCTGAAGCTGGTGCACTCAAATCTTGAGGATGACCCTGAAGAGATCAGGTTGGAGTTCATCAAGTATTTAAAAAGCATAATCAACTCAGTGTCTGAAAGCAGAGACCGGGAAGAGATGTCAATTATCACCTAAGCAGCCTTCATCTGGACTCTTCCACGTCACACATGAGGTCACCTTGTTCCCCAGGCAGATCTGGGGTCTTACCCAGCTACTGATGTGACCTTCTCCCTGTGGCTGTAGAAGAGATTTTCCTTATCTACTCTCACGGTCGGGTCAGCCAGGAAGTTGATCTGGGGGTTACAAATCAGTTTGAGCCAGTAGGCGAATTTGCAAATGCAGAGCCCATGAAGGAGGGTCAATTGTACCCTCATTTGGCATCACATGTGGTCTAGGTCCCCTCCTTCTCTAGGAGGAGGGGAGCATGAGATTTAGACCAATTATGGAAAATGGAAGACTCTATCATTTTTTCCCCATATCTAAGGTGTAGGACTTAAGTGTTGGACTCTACCTCCCTGTTATTTAGAGGAATAGAATGGCAGCTCCACGAGGGGGCGGATTTTTATCTGTTTTGCTCATGCTGTATATCGTCCGCAGCAAGAACAGTGTAGCATGACGCGTCAGTATTTGTTGAATGAACTAAGCAATGAAAACCACCTTCAAACCAATACACAGGAATTAAACTTCTGAATCATACAGTATTTTAAGTTTTGTGACTGGCTTATTTCGCTGAGCAGAATGTCCTCAAGTTTCATCCATGTTGTAGCAGGCGTCAGAATGCCCTTCCTTTTTAGGGCTGAATACTATTCCATTGTATGGACAGATTACATCTTGTTTATCTGTTCATCTGTTGGTTATTGTAAATAATTTGCTAGAACATTAGTGTACAATTCACCTAGGATATCTTTCTTTCAAAGATTTCATTTTTAAGTAATCTCCACAACTAATGTGGGGCTTGAACTCACAACCCTGAGATCAAGAGTCACACACTCCACCGACTGAGCCAGCCAGGCACCGCCACCTAGGATATTTTTGAAGATTAGCATTTAACCTCTCCAAGATTTTATTTTTATTTAAATATCCTTGATATCTGGACATCCTTATCAGCTTGGAAGGTAGAATACACATAACGTCTTCTAAAAAGTTTTTTATGATCTCAGGGGAACTTAATTCTTAAGTATTCCTTCAGGTAATCTATGTAAAAACTGTTATATTGTCCTAACACTTAATTTGTAAAAACCATCAAAAGTGTTGATGCTCAGAATAAGCAAATATGGTGAGTTTATAGCTTATCGTGCAAGTGGGTTTGCTTTAATCTTAGGAATTTGTTCATCCATAATTTTTATATTTGGATTCTTTTTTTTTTTTTTTTTTAAGTAAGCTCTAGGCCCAACATGGGGCTTGAACTCACAACCCAAGATCAAGAGCTTCATGTTCTACCGACTGAGCCAGCCAGCTGCCCCTATTTTTGGAATTTTTTTAACATAGCCAACCTGAAAATACATTAAGTAGATCAAAAGTTAGATGTAGGTCTTTTCCAGTGCGAGTGAGATAAAAGTAGAGACGCTTAAGAGAGATGAATCAATAGGCGTGGGTGCTCTTCACTTTGACAAGGAGGAGGCTGAAATGGAGCTGTGTGGGCAGTCTGTCAGAGAGTGGTATTTGCTAATAATGCCAACGTCCTGGTAAATTTAGATTGAACTACAGTCACCTCTTAGCCAACTGCCTGGTTACCTGCGAGCACATTTTAAGTCCCAGTTAATTTCCTTCTGACCTGCTCTCGGTGGGAACATGTGGAAGGAACACAGAATAGCCTCAAGGCCAACTGTAGCAAATCATCTTTACGTAATAGCGGCAGTAATAATAATTGGTCTGCAGAATACAGCTCCAGAACAAAAAGGAATTATTTTTATCTGATTGTTGATGAGAAGCCAAGAGTTCAACAGAAAAATTAACCCCAGCAGCATGCATTTACATTAGGGGCCAGAGCGCAACCCTTGTAAGGACTTGAATAGAGAAAAAGATTTGCATTTGAATAGGCCACGTGTGCGCAAGTTCTAAGGGGAGAGTCAATGAAGAAGTCTGTCTTCCCTGTCCTGGAAACCCATTCCCTCTCAGGAAGCCACTTATCAGGACGCCTGGGTGGCTCAGTGGGTTAAGTGTCCGACTCTTGATCATCAGCTCAGGTCTTGAGCTCAGTCGTGAGTTCAAGCCCAGTGGTTGGGCTCCATGCCCAGCATGGAGCCTACTTAAAAAAAAAAAAAAGAAGAAGAAGCTACTTACCTTCCATATTCTACCAGACACAGTCTGTGCATGTACAAATGTGTTTTGTGAATGGAAATGATAGCAAACTATTTACATTTTCCTACAACTTGCTTTTTTCACTTTTTATCTTAGGAGTTTGTGTAAATACATACAGAGCTGCTCTATTCTTCATAGCTGCAAATTATTCCACATAACCATTTATGTTACAATTTTATACTAGATCATTTTCATAACCATTCATGTTGAAATATTACCTTTTTATTGATGGACATTTTTAACAATACTGAAATGCATGATTTGGGATATAAATATGATTGAATGTGAAATCTTAGGAAGGTGGTTTCAACCATCAGCCCTTTCGAGGGAAGGGTAAGGTTGCTGGTCTAGCCATCCTAGGTCTGATTTCTCATTTCATACCATTTTCTAACGGTACAATGTGATTTTTGCCATGCGTGTGCTAGCATATGGTGAGATTACTTTCTTTGTATCACAGATGGGACAATGCACATGAGAGCCGCAGAAGCGTGGAAGAGCCTGGTCACAGGGGGAACTCAGTAGTTCAGCAGGACTCCAGTGAATGTGTGTGCAGTCGGTGTGGGACTGAGTGACATGGTGGGGAGGGTGATGGGGGGAGGGAATGGGGATAGGTGTCTCTGAGTGGTGGGAGGTGTGGGTGGCAGAGAGAAGATGAGTGGTCAGTTGGTGAAGGGCCTCTCTGACCAGGCCAAGGAGTTAGGGTCTGAGTTGCCACTGAAGAATCATCCCTGCCGATTAATGTGGTCAGGTCTCCACTTTAGAAATAAACTCTGATGGCAGTGTGAGAGCTGGATGGGAAGGACACGTGTAGAGGTGACTGCTACCATTCCTTGGCTTGTGGCCGCATCGCCCTGGTCTTTAAGGCCCAGCATCCTCAGATCTTTCTCTGCTCCATCTTCACATTGTGCATCTGACTCAAACCGCCCTCGACACTCCGTTGTAAGGACGCTTATAATTGCATTAAGGGCCCAACTGGATAATCTCCCCATCTAAAGATCCTTAACTTAATCACATCAGCAAAGATCCTTTTCCCAACTAATGAAACAACACTCACACATTCCAGGGATTGGGTCCTGAGATCTTTGGGGGCTGGAATTCAGCCTCAGTGAATGGTACCTGAGGCGCTAATGGAAGAGGAGCAGGCTCGGGGGCAGGGGGGGTTAGGGGAGAGGACAAACGATCAGTCTGAGATGACCCAGCAAGTTAGGGACAGGGACCAAACTGGCCCCCCACGCCCCTGTTCTTTCCCCTGTCCTGGGGTAACTGGGCAGCAAATGAGTCCACAGATGAACATGGCCGAGAATGTCACCCCTGAAACTGAACCCCTAGCAAAGCAACAAGGACAGCAACAGGCAAAGAGCCGTTCTTGAAGCCGAGCCACCCAGAAGATGGTTTCCACATCCGATGCAGATAGAACTAGCATCATCATATTTTCTGAAACCAATCAAATCAGGGAGTATTACTGAAACTTGTAAAGAAAACCACAAGTTAGTCACTTAACGTCACAACTTGAACATCCACAGCTCCAGATTGCTCAGGGAAGCTCCTGGAGATGATTATACTTTTTGTGGAACACCAGAAGACCCATATACCACAAGGGTAGCTAAATTGTTATAGCAAAGAGCAGAGATTTGCTGGTAACTGAAGACCTATGAGAGTTTTTAAAAATACCAATTAAAAAAGTAACTGTTTGCACCACTCAAGAAAATTACTCTGAACTATGACTCTTCTAGATCTTGACCTCAGCCTTCCCCACCTGATGGTTGAGAATATCCTGGCTTTGGCTGATACTTTCTCAACAAATGTATTCTTTCCTTCAACAAATGAAGGATCCCCATTTTCAAAAACCAAACCCAAAGAGATTAAATTAGTGAGGAGGGAAGAAACTCTCTGCTTTTGAATGTTAAGAACAGATTACATATTTTTAATGTGACTTTGAAACTGCTTTATCAGTTAAATAATTCTCTACATTTATGATACTGGCCATTCTTCCTACCAAAGTTAAAAGCCAATGGAAATGTTATGTCTGCCAAGTATTCCCACTTCAAAAGGAAAGTTCGTGGTGCTTTGATGTGAGCAACACCTCATCTATCTTTCTGCAGTTCATTCCTATCTAAGCATTCTGATAGCTTTTAAAAGTATGCCTCCTTTCTTGAAAGCCTCAGTGCAGATTTACCCCACACTTAAGCAGCTCTTTGGATGGGGTATAATTTGAGATCTTGGACATTCAAAGTGCTATGTAAAATAAAAATAACTTCTCTATTTTACATTATTGTCTAACTGGAGTTTTGTGATAAGTACTTTATACAAGAACCATCCTTTTCTCTTTTGTGTGACTTCACAAGGCCTGGAAAACACCTAGGCGTGTTACCCATGTGACGCAATGAAATATTTTGTTCAGAGGAATTCTAATTTTGTCAGAGTATGAATGACTTGGTTTCTACTTACAGGAATCTACTTCAAGTACTTTTCAAGGATATTTTGCAAATACGACGACACTGGGAATTGATCATCCTTTTTGGCGGTGCAACTGTTCAAAGCAGGAAGTTGTGCTTTGCATTTTTTAAAAAATGGTGACAATAGTCTTAAGGTATCAATCGCAAGCGAGATGAATCTAAAAAGAATGGTTCTTACGTATGGAAAGACTAGCACGAGAGTGTAAGTTAGGTCAAATATATACCAGCAAGGAGCGTGGACGTGAGTCTGTTAGCCGCTGAAAGGCCCTAAGCAGAGCAGGGACGATTACTTTGGTGGCCCCGTGGAGAGACGGCTTAAGGGGAACATGCCTGAGAGCAGGTTGACGAGGAAATCCGGAGTGTCTGAAACACAGCATCGGCGATTGGCATGAAGAAAATGGGACAGGTTCCGTAAGTATTTAGGAAGTAAAATTTGTGTTTGAGTGGACAAGAAGGAAGAAGGGGAGTTTAATCCCCTATTTTCAGCGTGCTCGGTTTATTGCAGGTGCTCAACGAAGTGACAGTTAATCAGTGA